CTAAAAGGAATATACATGATGACATGTTGAAACTGTGAATTACTTCAAGCCAGTAGCTCCTAAGAGATATGATGGATGTCAAGAACTGCCATTTCTTTTGAAAATTTAATCTATTTAAAATATCGAATGGTGCCCCTTTGAGTTTGCTGCGGCACCCAGAAGGCCTTGCCACATGGAAGCCCTAAATACATTTACATGTATTACCTCACTCGCTCCTTCAGAACCCTATTAGGTAGGTCTATCGTCATCCTCAGCTTACAGAGGAAGAAGACGTGCAACTTGTGCGTCACACACCTTGTAAGTGGTAGAGCAAGGATCTGAACCCAAGAGGTCCGGCTCCACAGCTCACTATCTTAACCACTTAGATATGCTGAATCTTTTGATGATTATATCCGATACTCTAAACCTAACTTATCTTCTTCTCCCAAAGCAGCCATTCTTCTTGCTTCTCTCGTTTTATTCCAGTCCTGGTCATAGAACCGCAGGTGGAAAGGGTGCGCGGGGGCCCTCAGCAGTTCTACCAGCTGGCCCTCCAGTCCCTGCTCACACTGCAGGGCGAGGGAACATGATTCCAGAAACATTCCTTTCCGTCTCTAGGTGGACTGTTCACAGGTCAGGTTTAAAAAAGCACAGTATGTGTCCCATAAATATTTGTTGGATAAATAAATGACTACATTCAAAGTATGATTACTTCAGGTTTGGACAGTCACAATCAAACATGAGGGGGGACCCCCAAAAATCTGGAATTTATAAAAAATTTGTATTTATTTTAATATGTTTAAACCTCGGTCACCATCAAAGTACTCTCCAATTGGTGCAATACACCTATGGAGGCGTTTTTTCCCCTACTTAAAACAGTCTTTGAACTCGTAGGTTTTGATGCCTTTTAGTGCTGGGTTTTTTTTTTTGTTTTTTATTTTCACCTTTTCCACATCAGCAAAACATTTCCCTTTGAAGACTTTTTTCATCCGGGGAAACAAACAACAAAAAAGTCACCTGGGGTAAGATCAGGTGAATAGGGAGGGTGGGACAAGGGTTTTTTTTTGTTTGTTATCTGTTTGTCAAAAACTGCTGAACACCCAGTGCGGTGTGGGCAGGTGCGTTAGTAAATCAACCATCATGAAAAGAGCAAAAACATTGGAAGTCTTCCAAGTAAGTTCCCTGAAGATGAACGCAGCCTCTCACAGCAACGCCAGCTGGCGCACTGATACAGATGGGTTCCTAGCACACTCACCTAGCGGGGGAAGCCTGTACCACAAGCGTCTGCTCTCCAGAAGATCTTCCCACTTTTATTTTCTGGTCCCCCCTTGTATTGATTTATAACAAAGCTTTTGCCCTAAACTATAATTCTTTTTCACTAGCAACTGCTAGCTACATGGGGGAATTACAAATAAGTCCCTACCCTTGAGGAGATTTATCTTCCAAAGTACTCAGGTTCAAAACCTCAAGGGACATCTTTATACTCATTTATGTTTGTCTTCCCAGAATGAAGCCTGGTTGCCAGATGACGTCAGCTTTTCCTTCAGAGCCTCTCCTGAATCTGTCTCTTCAACTTGCTTCCTATCAGGCTTTTATTACTGGCCTTGGACTATAATAAGCTTCTGGGCTGTCTGTCTCAAGTCTCTCCTCAGTCTAAACCACCAGGTACAGCTCTATCATGTTATTCTTAAATTGCCATTTAGACCCTATCTAAACTCTGCACATAATCCCAAAGTGCCCACTTCCTATGCTTCATTTCGGAATTTAACATTTGCTACAATTTGCTCCCATCCTGTTTTTTCAATACATGCTTTCACCCACATATTCACTCATTTGACAAATATCACAAAGTGCTTACCAAGGACATAGAGGAGCTGAACGCATTATTAAGGTGACTAAAACAGTCCCTATGGAGTTAAAACACCCGTAAGACACTTACAGTTTTTAATAGGGGCAATGGAACACGTACAAAGATAACTCCAATTAGGAAGACGGTAAGGGCAACGAGAGAGCGAGCGAAGCGGTTACGAGAGTTCAGAAGTTAAGTCTGGCCCTGGCCCGGTAGCTCCACGGGCTAGAGCATCATCCCCGTATGTCAAGGTTGCGGTCAGGGCACACACAAGAAGCAACCAATGATTCCTAAATAGGTGAAACTACAAACTGATGTGTCTGTCTGTCTGTCTGGCTGTCTCTCCCTTCTCTCTCAGATGTCTTAGAAGAGGGGGTGTTTGATTCGGTCTTGAAAGGAAAGCACAATTTCAGTATGAGAAGGGGAAGAAGGACACTGGAGAAACAGGAGCAAAGGGCAGGAGGTAAGAACGTATGAGGAGCAAGTTTAGTTCCCACACAGTGTATACAAGGCAGACTGAGAAGCGGTAACCCTGAGCAGGGAGGTTTAGGGCTAAACCAGAGGTGACTGCGAACGCCTGGCCGAGGGTCTGGACTTTGGTATTTATTCATTCCGCAAGTACTGGGGAGAGTGGAGAGAAGGCCAGACAGGCTCCCGGTCCTCCTGGAGCTTCCGGTCTAACATAGAGGCAGTAAGCCCCCACTGAGGAAGTGGAAGAGAGGACTGTCATCATCAAAGTGGGACTTGAGATCATTTTTGTATTGACGTGTAAGATGAACTGCACGAGGGAAGAAATGGAAAGGAGGCCATTTATTCCATGAGGTGCAGGGAGGAATGAGGCCCAAGACAGTGGCAGTAGTAACAGAGGCCACAAAGGGGGCACATCATTAAAGGAGGAAGAACATCCGGCCTAACCCGGCAGTGGAACTAGTCAGAGGAGAGCAGGAGAGAGAAAAATGCAAACACAAACCACAGAAAAAGTAACCTTTAAGGTTGGGAAAAAAACCATTCAGAACAGTGGTTGTCTCAGGGTGGAGACTGGGAAGGGGCAGGGTCTTGATAGAGGTTTGGTCACACAGGTGTGTGCATTTATCAAAACTCATTGTGGTTTACTTAACATTTGTGCATTATGTCATATGTAAATTTTACCTAAAAAAAAAAAAAAGCTCTGGAAACAAATATTGAGTTTAAGTTAATGATATGCAAGCTAAAGTATTTAGGGGTGAAGTGCTTATCTACAACTTACTCTGAACACATTAAAAAAGATGAATTGATGATGGATGTATGAGAAAGTAAATGGGAAAATATTGAGCTGGCAAAAAAGTCTGTTATATTTTTTCTGTACGACGGCTCTGGTAGCACTTAGTTGCTTTAACTTCATTCAAAACAATTTTCTTAGATTGTATTGTGACACCTGTCATATCAGCATGCATTAAAAAAAAAATTGGAAAACTTTTGTGCAGCCATTTTCATATTGAAGATGGAAGAAGATAATGCAACATTTTTGGTGTATTTTGCTTTATTATTTCAAGAAAGGTAAAAACGCAACTGAAATGCAAACAAAGATTTGTGCAGTATATGGAGGAGGTGCTGTGTCTGACTGAATGTGTCAAAAGTGGTTTGCAAAGTTTCTTGGTACTGACATTTTGGCCAAATAATCCTTTGTGTGGGGCTCTCTTATGCACTGGATGATGTTTAGCAGCACCCCTAGCCTCTACCCACTAGAACCCAATAGAGGGAGATAGCTGACATACTCAAAATATCTAAATCAATAAAGTTATTGGTGAAAATGAAAAATGTGTCTTTTATTTTAGGAGAAAAACATAACAGACATTTTGGCCAACCCAATATTCTACACATATTGTAGATTCTACAAATCTACAAATATTGTAGATTCTACAAATCTCGGTGGGTAGCATAGGGTATTCACTATACAGTTGTTTCAATAATTGTTTGAAAAATTTCATGAGTGTTGAGAAAAACGACAAGCACATAGTTTTGAGTTTGGGTTGACGGGTAGGAAATGAGGAATACATAAGGGGATAAAGAGAGGGATGCAGGTTTGGGAATGGGAGGTATCCAAGGCATCCAGGGAGAGAGGTTTATCGGATAGCTAGAAACACAGGACTAGAGTTGGGCTGTTTTGCAATGCTACTTCCTAAACATCTCTCTGCCTCCATGCGTTCCCTCCCTTCTTTTTCTTCAAGCTTTCTCGGACCACCCTGCCCTCCCCGACTCAGCTCTGCAACATCAGTCTATGACATTATCATATATTACTAGAATGGAAGTTCTTAGGTTAAGTGGAATTGTACACAGAATACATACTATTTCATGAAGCAATTTTCTGATAAACAAATGAATAAAACCTGACCTAGTATTTGACTATATAGTTCTATTTATTTATATAATCCTCAAGAGAGGACATTTTCCCACTGTTTTTAGAGACAGAGGAAGGGAGAGAAACACCCATGTGAGAGAGGAACATCAACTGGCTGCCCTTGACCACACCTGGACCAAGGAAACCGCACCCTACGTGTGTGCCCCGACCGGGAATTGAACCCACAGCCCTTTGGTTACATGACGACGCTCCAACCAACTAGAGCTGACTATACAGTTCTTTATGCTCACATTGATTCTTGGCTTCAAAGGTATAGTTTTGTTTTTCCTTTCTGAGACATACATACTTTTTAAAAAGGCACTCTTTGCAGTGGGGAGAAAAAGCTGAACATCAATTATAGACTGGAATGAATTGCCATTCTCAAATTCTTAATGTATTGGACTCTCTTTTTTAGTAACTTTTCTTTTAGATTTTATCAGACATTTTGCAGAACAATAAACAAAGAAAGAAAACAAAGAAAATGGCCGTCCTCAGGTGGCAAAACTATGATTTTTGCCTTGTTACTATTCTGAATTTCTAAATTTCTATAAAAATAATACATTACTTTAGCTCCTGAAGGTCAAGAACTACCCCTGCTCCTCTTTGCACCTCTTAGCCCCCTTGTAGCTTTGGGCCCGGCAAACAGTAAGCGCTCCAATGGGGAAAGAACACCCACTGGACACTACACCAGAAAGTGGCCAGCACCAGTGAGTGGAAGGCCATTAGCTTATTCCATTAACTTGGTCATTGTTCAAATTTTAAAAACATATTTTTCAAAACGAACTCATAAAATACCTTTTCATATCTCTCCACCGTCCCACGCAGACAGTGCTGCTGAACGAAAGAAACGAGAGAGAGTTGGCTCTTTATGTGAATTCTAAGTATCAGTCAGAATAAGCCATGGCATTCTTAAACCTATGTTTGGCACAATGGGACAGCTCTATTAAGAAAACCCACCAATAATTAAAATTGCTCTTTAGTTCCAGACAGATTCTGCCATTGGTAGCATTTTATACTTTGTGTCATTCTAAGAGATTTACCTTGCTACATTCCCAATGGTTCACCTCCGCTGCTTAAGTCCACATCCACTCACTACTGTCAAGGAAAAACCTGCTTCATTTCTCAACCCCATCACACTTTAAAAAATGATTTACCTTTTCTCCTCTTTCTCTCTCTCTATCTTTTTCTTCTTTTTTCTTTTTTTTCTCACTATGTCCATCTGTGTGGAGGCCAGGAAGTGGTGGGGGAGGGGCAGCTGCTCCAGTGTAGGGGATGCTGGGAGGTGGTCCAGGTGTCACTGTGACTTCTCCCACCGCTGCAGCAGAAAGTCCTGAACTTCTCTTGGACTTGGAGTGGCGTTTCTCCTTATGCTTCTCCTTGTCCTTCTTCTTTTTGCTCTTCTTTGACTTCTTTTTCTTCTTGATTTCCCGGTAAGAATCATCTATCACTAACTCACCAGCCTCTAGCTCCCCTCCAGAGGATGAGTCTGATTCTACTAGGATAGGTTCAAGCCCTGAAAGATCCAGGTTAGCACTGTGGGATTCTGGGAACTGGGAGGCATCAGGCCCACAGCCTTCGGGGCCAGGAGATGAATGTGGGTCCGAGGATGGCTTGTGCTTCTTCCGGGCTGTTTTCAGAAAGCTCTGTAACTCATGTCCTAGGAGTAAAGCACCTTGCTCATCCCGAGCTGATTTCTTTGAGGATTTTTTCGCAGTCACTTGCTGAGAGGGGTACTGAAAAGACTCCTCATCAACTGAGCTGCTTCCCTTCTCCTTTGGTGAGAGAATAAGTTTCATTTTTAAGCCATCAGGCTCACGAAGGGTCAGTGTCTCAGTGTTCACATAGAGTGGTTTCATTTTTTTGGATTTGTGGGAACCACTGTCCTCCAGGGACAGTTCCCCGCTGCTTCCACTGACTTTCTTCCTGTGGTGTTCCTTTTTACTTTCTGAATGGCTTGAAGAACTGGAGGATTTTTCCCCTGTCTTTTTGGAAGGTTTGGAGCCTGTTGCAAGTGGGGAAGTGATAGCTTTCAACAGGTCCATAGCTGTATCAGCAGCTTGTGGGCTGGACTTTTTCTTTTTCTTCTGTGACGATTCCAAAGACGAAATATCTAGAAATAATCAAGAGAAGTACTGTCCACGTGACAAAGCAACTTCCAACAAGTTTCCTCTCTCGCCCCAAACACCCAACTAACACGAGGAAGAAGCTAACAGGAATGATTTAAGGGGAGGCCCTTCAACTGATTCCTAATGTTCAGAGATGTTGCCCATGTGCTTCTTGGACTGGTCGACTTCGCCTCTGACCCTGGAGACAGTTCTCGCCACTAACGTCGTTTTTCTTCCATGAGTCTTCACACGCAACCAAAAAGAACATACCCAGAAGAATGGGTTGTAGCTGGGGGATTATGAGTAGAGTTGACCCTTGAACAACATGGGTGTGAATTGCACAGGTCCACTTATATGCAGGTTTTTTTCTCTTGTCTATGATTTTCTTAATAACATTGTTTTTTCTCTACCCTTATTGTAAGAATAAAGCATATAATACATATAATATACAAAATATATGCTGTTTATGTTATTGGTAAGGCTTCCAGTCAATAACAGGCTGTTAGTAGTAAAATTTTTGGGAAGTTAAAGTTATATGTGGATTTTCGACTGTGCAGGGGTCGGGGCCCTAAACCCCCACGTTGTTCAAGGGTCAACGATTTAGATCACGCTGCAAACAGAGCATTGTTTGTTTCTGTGTCCAGGACAAACCCATCCTAGTAAGGAGTTAGTCTTGTCAGCTATGTGCATAATACAGCTAAGGAAGGCTGGTCTGTGAGTGCATGTGCACTGGATTGAGAATTAACCCACAGGTGGAGGCCAGAGGCCCCGGGACATATGGCAAAAGGGATGCTAAGTAACAATGGGCACAAGATAAGTGGATGATTGGGGAGAGAAGGAACCTGGTACCTGGTGTATCACAAATGAAGACTGTTCTTCTATGCTGAATCCTCCAAAATACCAGCCCTCCACCTCTCTCCTCCTTCACACTGGTTTATCGGCACTCAGAACAAGAACCACTGTCCTGTTAAATAGGCCACTGAGTCAGCAACATCTGGATCCCTTTCCCCTACCCCGACTCCAAGAACCAGTGATGTGTTTACCCCCACCTTTTTGCCTCTTCCTATCCTTACCTCCATAGTAGTAATCATCGGAGGAGTGCTTCCTCTTCTTCTTGTGTGTGTCCGTCCCCAAGAAGTAAAGCTCACTATCCTGGAATCAAAGAGGAAGAAGAATCGACCAATGAATAAGATGATGAGGCAAAAGTAGCTTGGAACCAATCTTGTTTTTTGATGATTTCTGACTTCAGAAAACAAAGTAAAACAGAAACTAATAGACACAAACGCTGTTTATTTTTCTTTTTAAAAATTTTTAAAGAAAACTCTTCAAATATTAGGATGATATGTGGTAGTTTAAAATTTTCCTAATTCAAATGTTTAGAATTTACCTTTAACTTCTTCTTGGAAGAATTCCTGACCTGAGCAGCGATTTCTTCCTCTTCCCTTAAAAAATCTTTGTAAGAACGTTTCTTTTCTCGTTGGCTTCGGCCGGCTGCTAGTCCTATGTCCTCAAAGCTGTGGTCACCATCAAAACAATCTGAGAGGCATCGGTTCATTTGGGAAAGGAAAGGAAATGAGAGTCAAGTAAGTAACAACCAAATCACCACATGGGTAATGAACAGTCCCTCCACTTCCAAATTAAAATGTTTCAGTAAGTCCAATGGAATACAAGGCTAGATCCAAGGGGACAAGAATACTTCTTGATGACTTGGCTGTAAATACAAGAATCAAACCTGAAGAAGCAATGCTTCTATGCTATGCAAATTCCCAGTGTGCATCCTCAACACACAGTTTCCTAGTTGAGATCTGGCAGGTGGACACAGACTTGCAGAGGTAAGGCGGAAAAGAGTAAGGATTCACGTGCTGTGCTGCTCTGTGGGAGTCCAGTATGTGATTGCTACCCCCAGACTCCTGCACACTGGAGCTGGCAAGGACCACGAGTGCTGCAGGGGATTACCCCAATAGACTACTATACTTCAGACTCTTGTATTGGAACCCTGCTTTGGTTTTCGTTTCCATGGGCCCAGTCTGGGGATGACGTGGAGGCTTAACAGTGCTCTGGATCATCACTTGGGAGTCCAGACTGTTATGGTCAGTCCTGGTCTCTATGTCCATGGGCTGCAAGGATTGAAGAGGACACCCCCTTTGGAATGCTTCTCAGATTAAGGGGCCATACCTTCTTTCTTCACGGCGTCATCATAAGCCATGGCGGTCCTGCAGGGCCTTTGAGAATGTGTCTCTGTGTCCAGGCTCCTTCCCGTCTACAGGACCAGGTCTGAGAAACAAAGAAGGAAAACCTTCCTGTAATGCGAAATCACTGTGGAGAAGCAACCTTCCAGGCGGAAAGGTGTAGCGGATCCAAGGGCAGACTGGAAGGGCAGCAAGAAATAAAGGAGTGTCTTGTCACCTCCTCATTCTGTAAATACATTGGGATTGAAACTGCAGCAAGTGCACTTGGCTTAATTTGATCTGAATCATGAATTAAAAGTTGTTTGGGGGAGTATATAAAACACCTCCCACATAAAGATTACTTCAAAATTAATGAGAATTTCTGCAATGCCAACAGGACTGACAACACTGAGAAAGAATAAGGGCCGACATTAAGTCAGAGGGATAGGTTCAATCATGGCTACAAAATGCAGATAAGGCAGGATGCAGAGGAAGACAGATTACATCACACACTCGAGACCACAAAATCCAATCATTTGGATTGGGAACAGCCTAAAATCTATTGTAGTGCCATTTAGACAGAAATGGTAACATTACAGGGATATTAAAGATCTTTGAAGCACATTTTTTGATATGTATTGTTGGGCCATGTGATTTCTTTGCTCAAATGACAGAGATGCAAGGGTGGGTACGCTTCTTTTGTTAGTTGGCCCTATGACAGCTTTCAACACTATCAAGTCTTGTAAAGGCTAGGTGAAAATAGGGAAGAGTTATCATTTGTCCACTCGTAGTGACACATTTATGATTATTAAGATTTTCACTAATTTGAAGAATTATTGTAATATACATGTTCTACGTATTGTCTTGGATTTGTTAATACTATTTTTTTGGCACTCAAGTTTACACGTCCATTTTGGCTTTGACAATGACAAGCCATGAACCACACTCTAAGGTAAATTTCTTCCAATACTTTAAGGACAGGCAATGTCACAGTTCCAGCAGGAAAAGCCTCTGCAGGAAATTAAAAAATTATGCACTAAATATATTCAAAATGTTCTCATCCCGTTAGAGAAATGCCTAGAAGTTGATACGATTGGTCATTTATTAAATTTTATTTTACCTTCATTACTATAATGGGGTTTAGAAATGCTGAAGGACACTTCAATGAGACATTGCCAATCCCTTCATGTGCATATAGATAATACTGAAGTGTGTAACTCTTGTAAAAGAAGAGGAATTTAATTAACAAGGAAAACTTTCATAAGAATTACATTGAAAATAAACGAGAGAATCGCACAAGTCAGATAAAATACAATGCATAGATATGCCTAATTTGAAAGTAGAAAGAAGTTTTACCCAGAATGAGTGGTAAGTGAGATTAAGAAACATAAAAAAAGCATTTCTTTACTTCTCTAGTAAGTGGAACGAGGAATGGACTTGGTCAAGGTCAGAGAAGCTAGAGTAAAGAAAAGAAACAAAATAAACTAAATTATTTCAAAGGTAAACTGAAAAACTGCTTGCTTAAAGGCCTTTTCCTAGGCAATGAAGGGGATATAAAGTCAGGTCTCATGTACAAATATAATGAGGCAAGATACATAATGTAGCCAGTTTTTCATGTTTAGCATTAAGTATCAATCTTTCTCAAATAGAAATTACTGGCTTCTCCTTTCCACCCAAGTGGCACTAACTCCAAAAGGGGTAAGGGGAGGGGGAATATCATAGGAAATTATATCCATTCATTTGAAAAGAGCATATCATCTTATTGGCACTAAAATATTGAGCTTATTAGAAAAATATATAGATCTCATTAGTTTTCATTAGGTTGATAGTGCCAAGAGATACTGTAACTTGAGACCTCAAGTTAAATGTGTCCCCTGCTAAATGAATTTTGACAAAGAATGTTAGAGAGATGGGGAAAATTTTTTAAAAATATTTTACATCATGCCCTGGCTGGTGTGGCTCAGTAGATTGAGAACCAGCTTGAAAAGGTCACCAGTTTGATTCCCAGTCAGGGCACATGCCTGGGTTGTGGGCCAGGTCCTCAGTTTAGGGAGTGCAAGAGGCAGCCAATCAATGATGTTTCCTTTCCCTTTCTCTCTCCCTTCCCCTCTCCTTAAAAATAAATACAATAAATATTCTACATTATCAATATGGCCACCATCTGTTGTCCATAACAATAAAAAGCACTTCTATATGAAGCAGAGGTGGGTCCTGAGACTTTTAACCAGACCTTCCCCTTGGTAACATCAAAACTAACATGAAACAGTTAAGCAACTGTGAAAATAGGAACAAGTACCTCTGAAGACAGTGTAAGAAAACAATGGCCACTTACTGACTATGGAAAGCGCTCACAGTCTCCTGACTGCTTTGGAAAACAACCAGTGAATTTAACAAGTTGTGAAAGGGAACAGAAAATTAGGAGCTGATTCTCAAAGGCACAGGCCAACAGAGAAAGCATGTGCTGGTGTTAGCATTATCTATTAGAATTAGGCCTGTTACAATTTAAATTTTCATGAAAAACACAAGAGCATTTTATAAATCACAGGATTAAATAACCTGTAAAAAAAATGAACGAGGCCTGAGGGCAAGTCCAATTCACCAATAAATTGGGACAGCTTAAAAAACTAAAATTAAAGACAATGGACTATCATATGTTACACAGTCCGGGAACTGATGGACCCTGAATTTCTAGGTTCTTTAAAATCAGGATATTATTGCAGCCTAGGGGTTAGCTTTGGTTGCTGGCTCACAGAAGAAAGACGAAACCAGAAGAAGAAGTCTTAAGCAACAGCATGGAAGAAAGGCAGAGTTAGGGCAACATAGATATAAGATCAGATGACTCCAGATTTTCCTTCCGGGTCTTGAATATTATCCATGGTAATAAATTCAGAGTTCAGGGTTAGGTAGCAGATTGTGAGGATTACAGAAAATGAAAAATATTAGGTTTGATTTTCACATCAGAAAATAGAGGCTACAATGACATTAAATGTTGGCAAATGTAAAACAGGTGTTAAAACCCATTCTCCTGAATTCTACAATTTTGCAGTTTATAGAATTAAATGTTGTCAACTTCAAGAGGCAGGCGTGCTTTTACAATTCTGTTCCTCTCAGTGTGCTAAGGAATGACAACATAGGTAAAAGTTCATTACTTAATATTGTTTATAGAAATAAGAAATAGGCCATCATAAAAAAAATGTGCGCTTTTAAAATGTGCAGATTGTTAAATGGCTCTTTTGGGATTTTTCTTCAGGATACAAAAAAGGGGAGGTAGCGCTGCTCTTCTTGTAGATGACTACTTGCATCAAGGTCAGGCATAGCGTTCTGGATGACCAGGGTAATTTGGGAAAACTTGAAATCCTTAATAGTACTTTCTTATTTTGAAAGTTCGAATTATAAATATGGGGGGGGGGGAGTTTCAGAAGGTTGTTTTTTGGAGGTAATCTGAGCCGCCTCAGAAATCACAGACCAAGCCTCTTCATCGCAGAATGTAAATGAGTCTTAAAGAGGGAACAAGGTAAGCCCCTGAAACCAGGCAGCAAGCGAAATCCTGAAGTCCAGGTCCAGTCCGGGGTGAGAGCCTTGCTGAAGACTCTGTGCTCTCTCCTCTTCCAGAACTCCCTCCAGGAACTGAAATTGCCAGTCCACGCAGGAAAAGGAAGATGCCCGTCCAGGGGTTGCCCGTTTCCGAATTGTTGTCGTGACCTCTAGCATTTGAGCAGGTGGTATCTTCTCTTTCTCTCTTTTTTTGGTCGAGATTTCCTCCAATCTCGGAACAGAGCGACTCCAAATTCTTGCCACTCCCTCCTCCCAGAACCTACCTATGCAGCACTCACAGCCCCTGCCAGCTCTGGAAACTGCAGCGATGCCCGCGGCCCGGCCCGGGGCGAGGACTGGATCAGCTCATCGCTACGCGATTAAACGGAACCACGACCACCGCACAGATCGGCTGACAACACACGTTTCCAAAACACCAGCAACACAAATTTTGACAAGCCTCCTCCAATCAACAGGCTTTACTTTGGATTCAGGTTTTGTTGGGTTTTTTTTTTTTTTTTAATTTATTCTGCTACGAGGAAAAAAAACCCAGCCACCAGTTTAATCATCAGAAAGAAGGGAGTTAGATGGTTCTCCCCTTCTGCATGATGTCAAATAAAGTGAATCTACAAGTAATAGCTGTGGGGGGACAGGGGCCCTTAGGGAGCCGATCCCGCCACGAAGGCACGTTCCAACTGGGTCACACGCAAAGAGTACACACAACACCGGGTTATTTACACAAACAGCCCCCAGGACCACCACTCTTATGGTCCCTACGGCAAACCAATGCGATACTCCCGACAGTTCTGCAGCAACAGCTAGTTCAACAAAGCTCTGTGAAGAGCAAAAGAAAGCTCCTGGTATCCACTCCTCATAGCCGAGGACCCAGCCCTCCCGTCGTCACGGTTCCAGGGCCCTTTCGCCTTGACAGTTCCGGGGACCCCACATCCCGGGTCCCCAGCCGCACCGCGGCCCCGACCCTGGTTCCCGCGTCCCAGGCGGCCTCCCGGCGCCCCGGAGGGCGGAGACGGCCCGGGCAGGGGGAGGGGCGGCCCCAGCCCGCAGGCCCCCGGGGCGGCCGCACGCCCCCTCCCGGCCCCGCAGCTTTCCCGCCTTCCCCGTTTGAACAGCTCCCGCCCGTCCTCCTCCTTCGGCCCGCTCCAGCCCCTTCCCGGGGGCGGACTGCGGCCGCTACTCCAGTCCCCGGCTCGGCCCCTGGGCTAGGCCACGACGGGCCTGGGGCACCCCCGGGGCGGTGTCGCGGGCCCCAGGTGGCGGGTGGCGGCGGGGCGGGGCCGCTGCCGCCTCGGAGTGGGGGCCCGGCCCGGCCTCGTGGGGGCTCCGCTCGCCGCTACCTTCACTCGGATGGCCCGGATCCCGCCTCCGCGCTGCCGACCGCCGCCATCTTGGAGAAGGAGAGAAAAGCGCGAGCAGCCAGGGAGCCTCAGTCGAGCCCAGAGCGCAGACTCCGGCTCGCGGAGGGGAATCCCGCAGGTGAAAGAGCGCCGAGCGCATCGAATGAACAACGGAGCTTGCTAAACTTCCCCAGTATTATCGAGAATTTGCGCTAATCCTCTCCGCATCCCACTGATGTAGGTTTTGTTACAGTTTACTAACGAGAAACAGGCTCCGAGAGGTTAAATGACTTGCCTCATGATACACAGGTAGTTGGAGTGCGAGGCAGGATACTACTGCAAGCCTCCCGATTCTCTTTCCTTCAAGATATTTTTATATGGTAATTTCCCTCTTTGCAAAACATAGAGCCATGCATATTAATAGCGGTGGTGACTATTTGGAGTTGAGCATCTACATTTGGGTGTTTGCCATATTTGGATGGGGTGGAAAAACGTATCTTTGTAACAGCGCACTGGAAAATAATTTGCATGGCAAATCATCTGCATTTCTCTTAGGTTACTTGCATTTAAAAGTTAAAAACAATCTTTAGAGAAATGAAGAAATGTAAAACACAAGAGAGAGATGGGTTTTTCTGATTTCCTCTGGAGAATTTGAACCAATGGGTAGAAATTGCAGTGTGCAGATCTTGGTTCAATATGAAGATACATTCATTTTTATAGAGCAGTTCAATTGTATCTGGCTACTCTGCGAGATAATGAGTTCCCTGTCACCAGAGGAATCCAAGCCAGGAGTGTCCTAGTTACTGTAGTGAAGAGAGATAAGAGAGATCAATTGGCTTCTATAGTTATGAATTCCAGGGAACTCTATGTAAAATTATGTGTTTATGTACATGGGTATTTTTCTGAGTCCCATTAAAAATTAGGAACCCTTGTCCTAGCGACCTTGCCATTCCAGCATTGCCCAGGTGCCTGAATGCGATGTAGACATACAGCTCATGTTACATACATAGAAATTGAGACCGGGATGAGTGGTCTCAGACCACACTGCTAACTAGTGATCAGATAAGGATTAGAAAGAAGCCAGATTCTTGGACTCTTGGTTCAGTACTCTCTTCATCACGTCATGGTCTCTCTCCCTCTGCACTGAGCAGAATATCAAATTCTGTTTAACCGCTGCTCTTACAACTGTGAGATGCTGAGATGTTAAAACACCTGAGACAAGGTTGTTGAATTTATTCCCAAAACATAAGTGCAAATGATAAATAAAACTAGCGTCATTGCCTCCTTTTTCTCAATGCCCATCCTCCTCACTAAAAAGACAGGCAATGAATTTTACCAAAAGGTAACCTCCCTGATGTTAGGCTTCCCTGTGAGGTTTTTACGAGTGCTAAGAATGTATTTCCTGCCCTGACTGGTGTGGCTCAGTTGATTGCACGTCATCCCACAAAGCAAAGTGTCGCTGGTTTGATTCCACGTCAGGGCTTGGGGTTTGGTCCCTGTTAGGGGGTGGGTGCAAAAGGCAACCAATTGATATTTCTCTCCCTCTCTTTCTCTCTCCCTTCCCCTCTCTCCAAAAGTAAATGATTATTAAAAAAATTTTAAAAAAGAACATATTTCCCTCTTGGTTTTTAAAATATTTCATTTATTTTTAGAGAAAAGGGAAGGAAGGGAGAAAGAGAGGGAGAGAAGTATTGATGTGTGAGAAATATATTGACCAGATGCCTTTCACATGTCCCGACTTGGGCACCTGGCCCACAACCCAGGTATGTGACCTACCTGGGAGTCAAACTTGTGACTATTTGGTTTGCAGGCCAGCACTCAGTCCACTGAGCCTCACCAGCCAGGACTCGTTCTTGTTCTTAAGTGTCGGTTGAGGTGTTTTCAATTTTATGTGACAGAAACCCAATTCAAAGGAGTTCTCCAGAAAAGGAGTTGTATTGACTGACATTATTGAAATGTCCAGTACTTCCAGGTGTGGCCGGGTCCCAGGGAGGAACTCATGTCTCTTGACATCTCTCTGGGGCTCTTTCTTCTGAGTTGGCTTTATTCTCAGGTTCCAGGTGGTGACTCTAACAGCTCCAGGCTTCACTACTACCAGTGTCCCTGGAGAGAAAGTCTCTTTTTCCCATTTGTTTCGGCAGACGTCACGGTATTACTCTTCTTGCTGAATTGGATCATGTGTACGAACAGAATGCAGTCAATATGAGCAAAGGTGTGGGATATGTGATTGGTCAAATCAGGCCACATCCTCAGCCCACAGAGTATGGTAGACTCAAGAAAAATCAGGGATTATTAGGAAGGTATATGGGTGCCAGGCAGGCAAAAACCAATAGCTGTCCATCCTACTATATCACTAGCTTGAACGCGAAAGCCTCCTGAGTCCCATTGGTCCCAGCCTTCCTTTTGTCCCACCTTAAGATGGATCTATCAAGTTATTGCTCGTCTTAATCTCCTATAGACCTGAAGGCAGATCACTCTTCACTCTGCTCTTTCTATTAACTTGCTGCCGGTCTGGTATCCCTGCACGTGCATTCCTCCATTCATTTAGCAAGTATTTATTGAGCATGCAACATACATTAGGCACTGTCCTAGGCGGTGAGAATAGGACAGTGAACAAAACCCAGAGTCTTTGACCCACTGGGGCTTCTATTCTAGCCGGCTTGGGGGACAGAAAATAAATAGATGCCATGTTCGGGGATGATGAGAGGTGGAGAGAAATGGCAGGAGGGAGTGGAGGTGAGGAGGGTCGTTCTTCAAAATCAGGAGAGGCTTCTCTGAGGGGAAGTAGGCTGGAGGCTGGCTCAGCCAGAAGTGGGTGGGTGGAGGGAGCCAGGGGTCACAGCTCCTGGGACCGATGCAAGGCCTTCCTCTGAGCCTCCGTGGAAAAAATATTCTCTATTAAATATCCTATCAGGGTTCTTTCATTTCTGAACCTTGGAGGAAAGGAAAGGAGGATTCTCCTGGTAGCCTGAGATGGAGAGGACTTGGTCACACTGGGTTTTGTGAGTAGGATGCCTTGTGCCGTGGTGAGCGAGGATGGCACCTGAGGTCTGGGAAGCCGGGGCTGGGGTCGTTCCCTGGTCCATCTGACCGAAGTAGCGCTGCCCAGGCAGGGCGGTAGCAGGGGATGGCCCATCCATTTGTGCTTAATTTGGACACTCTCTTCTTCAGACCATTGTTTCATGTTTTGCCCATTTCAGCTATGTTTTGAAGAGCTTCTTTCTGCTAGGCCTGCTGAGTGGCATTGCAGTCACAGACATTAGTGCAATAGTTAGGGTCCTTTTGGTCGTGAATAATGGGATCTAATTAAAATGACTTTATGAGCCAAGAACAAAGGAATGGTTCACGTGAAAAAGCACTAACAGCCAGAGAGAAGCTGGCCCCCTAGACAACAGGGTCCAGGTATTCAAATCCCTTCCTCTTGGCTCTATTCTCGCAGACTAGCAGTCCCCATGGGCCCGGAATCATGGCCACTGGTAGCCCAGGCTTACATCCTTACAATGTCCTGGCCAGAGAGGAAAGCAAGTGTTCCCACACCAGCCTCATGAGGAAAAAACGTCCCAGGGAAGAACTCTGACTGGCTGGCTTGGTGTCATGTGATCAGCCAGTGGTGTGCTGGACTGTTCTTGACTGAACTGTAAAGTTGGAATGGGGCAGGAGTAGCAGTTCCACAAAAGAACAGAAGGCTCCATTCTGGAAAGACAAACTTAAATCCTCCATAGTGAGGCAGTGACACCCTGTTCCTGATTCTCAAGAGCTAACTATTGTGTGTGAGCGTTATAAGAAATGCAAAACGAGTCCATAAAAAACATGATACAAATGGAAAAGAAATGTGTCTCATCTCTCACTGGGTTAGTACAATGGCTTTCTAACTAACTCTTGTCCTCCAGGGGGTCTGCTCCACTTCCAAGGTCATCTCTGCGTGGCTATCAGAATAAAGCCCGGCTGAGACGAGGTCATGTCCCAGCCAACGAAGTTTTAACAGCTCCATGTTGCCTATACCATAGAGAGCAAACCTTTTCCGGTGGAAAGCCAAGAACTCTTATTCTGCCTCAAATTCCTCTCCAGCCTTGATCCCTCACGTCCCTTGATACAGGGACCTTCTCACCCTCCCCTAAGCTCATGGTGCCCCATCCTGCCTCCACGCCACTGTGTGTGCATTTCCTTGTCAGTAGTGGCCCCCCACATCCCACCACTTTTGCCATCCGTGCACCCAGAAAGCTCCTATTTATTTGTCAAGATGTAGCTCGAATGCCCCCTCTTGCAGTCTTCCTCTGGGGCTGCCACTCTTGATAACGTGCTTCAATTACTGACTTCCCACATGGCATTGCAACGCTCATTTCCTTATTCCTCAAGGACAGACAGGATCTAAGTTGCCTTTGTCCCTCTAGGCACATAGCACGTATTCAATGACTCCTTTTGATTAGATGTTGTTGAATGAAGACTGGGACAGGTTGTTTTTCTTGGGCTTCAGGAGGCAGAGATGAAAACTGCTGGGGAGAGTTGTAGGCGGTGTGTGGGTTTGGCTTGCTCAGCCCCTCTCGTATCTTCTGTGCAGACACCGCTGCCCAGATTCAGGAGTGGGCACAGAACTCCGGTCCTGGGGCTGTTTCTAAACTTCAGATGGAGGCAAGGGGTCTTTTGTGTCTCTCATCCGCGGCGTGGATGTAAACCTGGGACTGCCTGCGGCCATGCCGCCCGCCCTGGGGAGGGGTGTGTCTGAGAGAATGGGAAAGACGCGGAAAGGGGCCCGCAGATGCTCAGTGTCTGGACCAAGCTGTCCCTGCCCCTTCCATGCTTTGTCACATGAGCCAAGCATCTCCCCTTCCCCTTCTGGGTCATCTGGCTGGTTGCTCCTCTGCTGTTTGGACCCCAGAGGAGCTCCCTGGTCCCCAGGCTTCAGGAAAGAAGCTGGTCAAGCTGGGCTGGTCTTGCCTGAGGGGTGCAGGGCAGTGGGGCAGGATGGGAGAGCTTTCCTGGCGGAAGGAGGCAAGGAGGGCTGCACCACATCCTCTGAGTGACAAGCAGTGGCACTCCCTGACCTGGAGGGAGGGGTCAGTTCCTGGGAGCT